CATCTGAAACATCTCTATTTGCTTTTTATTTTTACTTCCTGCACAATCTGCAGGAATAATTGTACACAAGTGCTGAAGTCCAATGTATAATTATAAAAAATGAAACAATGTTAAGAAAAACAAATTTACAGTCAAGAAAATAAAATTTGCTTTCCTTTCCCTCCCAAATCTCAACCCTCAATAGAAAAGAAAACAACAGAAGAAAACACCCATTTTCAAGTGTCTGCTGTTTAGTACATTTGAGGATTCTTGTCACTGGGGGCTGATTCCAGCTAGAGAAGAGGTGCTTGCCTCAGATGGGAGGAAACCACCTACTCTCCGCCCACCTGGGCGGCAGACAGCTCAAGGCCCCTGCACACACACGAGCCACAGGCACTACCACGCCTTTGAGGTCAGGGTCAGCAAGCAGCCTCCGGGACAGCAGAGGGCATGGGGTACAGTGCAGAAGGCTGCTGCTCCTCCCTTCTCACTGCCTTCCCTTCTCTTCCTCTCTAGTCAACCTCCTAGTATCCCGTCCTGAACTCTCTGCTTCAGGCGCGACTGATTCTTGGGTGTACTAAATATAAAGGGCTAAAATTCTCACTATGCAATTAAAACAAAACACAGCAAAATTAAAATTAAAATGTGCCTTCAAATATGGAATGAAGTCAAATAAATACATCTGATTTTATCATTTTCTTAAGTCTAAATAAAATTTCATATCCTACACCCAAAAATCTATACATTTGGTTTTTGTTCTGAATCAAAATGAATTTCTGATAGTGAGGAGAGCAGAGTAGGGAATGGACTCCCTCAGTGACAGAGCAGTGCACCTGCCAGGCTGTGAAGAACTAGTCCTGCTTGGGCCCCTGGGCATGGCCAACCCCAGGGGCTTCACAGGCAGATGCTCTGTCACACTCTCTGTTCATCCACGCTGGGGCCAGGATGTGCTGGTACATGGCCGATGCGCAAAATCCGACAGCTTCTAGGACACGCAGCTCTAGCTTTTTTCTGGGAAGAATAAAGATACATGGGGATAAAATTAAGAAGAAACAAATCAACACTCAGAGAATACCTATGAAATCTGTGGGCGGGTTATATCCTCGTTTCTGGATCACAACAGCCTCATCCAAGAGCAAATGAATACAAATGGCTACACTGGACACATCCCCCTGCAGTCCTGGGGAGACAAACGGGCAGCAAGGCCTGAGGAGGCCAAGCTCCCACCGCCAGGCAGTGACCGGAGCACTGGCAAACCTCATGGGGAGTTAGCGTCACCAGGCTCACTGCCACTCTGCCTTCTGCTTTGCCAACGAGAAGAGGGGGTGGTTTTTGATGTTTGGAAACAAAGTTTTTAAAGACAAAAAAGAAAAGGAATCTCATAAGGCTTCTGCTTTAAAGAGAAATCATTTCATCCAATGTATTGGTTCAGGCAGAACAATCCTAGAGTTGGAATCGACAACTTCAACGTACCTGAGTGTTTGTCTGTGAGGGCTGATCCTGCGAGCCTTTGGCAAAGAATGGTATAACTTTCCTCCACCTTCTGCAAAATAAAATGCCATAAAAAGTTATTTTTGAAAATAATAAAAATGTTTTTTAATATTACAGGTACGTATGCTTCCAAATTTTAACATAAACACATATAAAATTTTGTTAGTGGAGGAAAAAAGTAAATTTCTTTCCTTTTCCCTGTTTATGCCTTAAACGAGTAACCTAAAAAGAAAGCAGAGGAGAGAGCAACTGGTAGAAGTGACCAGTGACTCTCCCACCCCCAGGAGTTGCATGGCCTTTTTAGATGCCCCCTCTCATCTGCCCCAGGATGGCACTCCCACATGAAGAAGGGGAACCTATCGCTGGAAGTTAAAAGAAATACTAACAGAGACCAGCCTTTAGCTACAGGCTAAGAACATTTTTAACACTGTCCCTCAAGCCTACAACTGAATGATGTGATGAAAAGACAGATGGGCTCTGGCAGCTGTCCTCCTGACGCACACTTTAAATGAAGTCCTTTCCTCAGAAGTCACCAAGTCTGTCAATTTTGAAAAGGAGGCTAGTGCATTGACAACTTCAACTACAAATTTACAAAAATCTCATTCATGCCCAGGTCTTTAGATGACGGGAGCCACAGGGGCTGGTTGCTATTTTTACAGCCTCTGGGAAACCAGCACTATCACCTGATAACTCAGCCTAGACTTGCAGCTGCACAACCCACAGATCTCAGCTATTTGTTCACCTCTTCTCACCGTGGCCGGCCAACAACCTCAAAAGCACTTAGGTTCTTAAATTTAGACCCCACCCCTCCCATAAATAGTTGACAGTGCTACAACTTTTTCTGTTTTTGTGATTTGTAAACAGATGAACAATGCTAATTTCAGCTTTTCATGCTGGCCCTTCCATGGCTAACGGTCAGAGAAAACATACAAATTCACAATCTTAACGAGTTTATTACCATCCTATTTCAATCCCTATACCCTTCCTCTCTATTAAACGTGTTTTGCATAACTGAGTCCTAAGGATGCTGGAGTCTGAGGTACCTTTAGGTGTTCGAGGTCAGCTTCTATCTTACAAATGTACTCCAGGACCCGGTCTTGTGAAGCTGCACAAGTGGGGGGCCTCTGCATCTCAAAGCAGGAGTCCCCTGTTGCTCCCCAGTGCTGCAGAGCCAGGAATTCTGGGGTGAGTGGTGAAGTTGTGTCATCAGAAAAAGCATTCTGGGGAGAATGCTGCTGCTGCTGCTGAGTGGGGTCCACAGAGGGGAGGCCTGCGGTGGGCTGCAGGGTGAGTGAGGAAGCAGCCTCCTCGTCGGTGCAGCTCTCCTGCACTGTTTCATAGCCATCGAGGATCAAGTAGTTTCCTGGTGACAGAGACAGAACAGTTTGTGAGATGAGCGGTGTCATCCACACCCCAGAAAATAGAAATAGGGTGATATGGTGACAACTTTAAAAGCTATTAAAGAGGGTGAAGGCATGAATTCCCAAATTCCTGTTTACTTTTAAGTACCAACAGAATTTTCTCACTTCAGGTTTAAGGTAAACTTAGCGAACTCTCATGGTACTTTCTGAATAATTTCAGGTAAGTTAGCATTCTAGAAGTTAAAAGCTGAAAACTACAAAGCCCTTATATGATCCTGCTACCACTTCCCTTGCCAAATACCTCTCCTGCCTCACCTCTACCATTTTTCCTCCCGCACCGCGTCCTCCAACCACGAAGCGCCTGCTCTCCGCACAGCCTGTACTCGCCTTGGCTGGAGCTCTGCTCAGCACCGGGAGCTTCTTCCTGGGTCCCCCTCCGCTCCCTGCTACCTCATCAGAGGCCCCTTCCCCGGTCACCCTGTCTGCCCGTTACTCTCTGCTCCCGAGTCTGTGAGCTATTTTTCCTGTGAATACTTCTTCTATCTTACGTCTACTTACTTGTTTACTTATTTATCATTACTCTCTCCCCTACCAGCACTCAAGCTTCATGAGAATAGTTGATTTTTATGTTTGCTGAATTCTGTATCTCCCAGCACCTAGAGTCGATTCAATAATTATGGAGTGAAATAAAGAATGCCACACACACACACATAGCGCTCGCAGGCCCAGTGTGTGGCAATCAAAGTCAAGGTGTAGATGAAAGAACTCGCCTGAGATGTGTAGGGTAACACCCTTCTCTTCCTTTTGAACTGCTCCATCGCCTCCTGGTGAATAATCATCACTATGCACTTCACGGGCATCAAAAAAGTGCTCTCCACTCTCATCCAGACCTCCTTCTGGCTCTGCAGGAGGAGCCTCTGGGGTCACCACCATGGGGCTCGTTACTGAAACGCCGCTTGCCTGGCTATGGTGGAATGCCAGTGCCACAGAATCCCGTGGAGCACAAGACTCAGCTGAAGTCCGTGGACTGTAGCAAGTTGAAATGACACCAGTTCCAGTTCTAAGGGGCATCTGTCTTTCACCAGGAGGATAGGCCTTAATCATTTCACAGTTCTGGGTTCCCCTGTCTGCCTGCACCCCTGGAGAGGCCATTCTGTATCTTGAGAACTGTGGCCAGTCTTCTTGAGTGCTCTTCTCAGCGAGACACAGCTTCTGTACCAGCAGCTGCTTCAACAAACCCACTGAAAGATTTAGGAAGGAGGGAAAATGCAGGTTCACAGCTGTAAACTCAGACTGCCAAAACTAAATCAGTGCAATTAGCAGTTATCTCTAAAAGTAAGCACCTTTTAGTAACACAGAGTCAAAATATTAATTTCATATATTATTTGTTTTGTTTGAAAAATGAAATAAAGCACCATCTACAGATAATAGAATATTAAACGAGGCTCGAAACACCTAGATATTTGTGACATGGAGGGCTTCTCCTCAGACCTGCTCAAGAACCAATACCATGTCTTCTTGTATTTCTTTCTTCCATGTAACTGAAATAATACCTAAGGATGTTGAAAAAGTTTGTTAAGCTAGACAAAAATACCCTGAAAGTTCTACTTTTCCAGAAGCAGACACTATACACACAGGCATTATTTTTTCTAATTTTATTAGACACACAGAATATAAATTTTATCACTTGTAATAACCTAAAGAATTTCCTTAAATGGTGAAGTAGAAAATAAACTTTCCTGAAAAGAAAAAAAAATTAATTCTAATGATTTGGCAGTGTGTATAATTTCAACAGATAAGGAAACATTAGGTTTTAAAAATGACCTTACTCATGGTGTAGCTTCCTTAGGTAGTTAAAAATAGAACCAATTTAACTTTGAATGGGCAAGTGTAAGCTGTAAGGTCATTCATACAATAATAGTTACTGGGACAAGGTCCGTCAAACCATCAGAAATCCTAATTGTACTTATAAATGCCTAACCACTATGTCATACACCTGAACTAATGTAATACTAAATGTTAACTGGAATAGATTAATAATAACAAAAATTAAAAAAAGAAATCATTATCAATGTTAATTCAGGAGAATCTAGAATTAGTCAGGTTTTAGAGAACTATACTAACTCCCTACTTTCAACTTTGGCTTAATCTCTATCTTCTGTTTCTCCCAAAGGTCTGAGTCTCTGACCCTGTCTTTCTGCCTGAGAGGGGCCCAGAATGCTTAAGGCTTTGACATGCAAATCCATCCCTCTCACTAGCCCCTCTCCAAAGTTCCAATCTTAAACTCCAATTTCCTGCTCATCACTTCCTCTTAAATGGTTCGCCATGCATTATCTTAAACTCGACATGTTTTAAAATTAAGCCCATAATCTCTGGCAAATTAAAAAATGGGGGGAAAGGGTGATGGTGGGCAGTGGTGGTCCTTTATTTCCGATAACAATACTAAAATTATCTCTAACTATTTCCTTTCCTTTGTCCTCACATCCACACAAGTCAATTGTTCTGAATACCTGCTGAACCCTCACTTTATGTTTATCCCTCGGACACAGTTCTAGTTCAGACCATTCGCCTCGAGCCCAGGCTACTATACAAGTCTAAAAGTGATGGTGTCACTTCAACCTCCTTCCATTAATCTGTTCACAGCTCTCAGTCACACTAACCTTTTTCATTTGTCATAACCTTAAGAACTTCAAGTGCATCTCCACAGCTAGAGCACTCGTTCTCAGCCTCTCTCCAACTCCAATGTGCCTGAGAATGTGGCACACTCCCACTTGTAACTGACTGTCAACGGCTGGAGAGGAAGGGGTAGCTCACAGAGCAGCCAGGACCATCCACACTCCTAGGGATGTGCACGTGCACAGATGCGTGTGTATGTCTGTGTGTGAAAAGGGTGGGACTTGGTAGAGGACACTACAATTTCCACAAGAATATTAGAAGACTAATCTGTAGTTTGAAAAAGCCCTCTAAACAGTGTGATGTGCCATCCTAAAGTTCAGAAGACTCAATCTCATATTCAAGGCTCACCAGCTGGGCTCAAAAACACATCTGGCTGCCTTTACAACCTTGCCTCCCACAGCTCCTGTGACAGACACGTCTACCACAGGCAACTGGTCCACTCACCGCTCCCGGAACACCCTCAGCGTCGCTCTCCTCTGTGCTTTTGTCCTACCATTATTCTTGTCTGAACAACTTCTATTCTAAATACCCATCAGTAACTTCCCCATTCTCCAAGGCATTAATCACACCTCTCTCGTTTCCTGACGCTTCTCTTCCCTGGTCACCCCAACCAGATCACCTCTCACACACCTGTATTGTTTGTTTACGTAAAAAGATGGGCAAAGTTTCTATCATCTTCCCAACTAGATTGTGAAATTCTTGCAGAAAAATGTCAGTTATACTTCTATGGATTCTCCCTAAATGACTGCAGAGTACATTATACAACTCTGGTACTTAGTATCTGTATTAACTTACAAATAAAACTTACAATTCCGTAGTGCATCCAATGCCCACCGCTCTTCTGAGATGGGTAAGTGTGGATCTGGGATTGTGACTTGATAATTTACTCCAACTTCCTTTACAGTTCCATCTGCATGCTGCTCCTTTGCGAAATGTCTCTCAGCCACAAAGAGATCGTCTATCTCTGACTTCTCAGAGAAGCCTAGTGAATGAGAATGAGGTTTCCATGATATTAAGGGAGACTCTAATACCAAATCTCTGTCTGTTCAATGGAATAGAAAAAGTAAAATATATCTTTTAACTTTTAACATGAAGCATTCAGGAAATACTTGGAGGAAGATAACCACACAAACTACGGAGCTTGTCTGTTGAGTGAGACACAGTGAGAACAGGGCTACAGTGGCACACAGAAGGGTCATAGGCAGAGTTTGCTAAAGTGAACAGCCGATGCCAGAACCTGCCTAAACACAAAGAGTTAAAGGTTTCTGTGCATTTTAGTAAGTAATACATGGACTGAACTCTCCCAGGTAAATAAACAGGCACGTTTACCTGGGCTCTGCGGGCCAGTGACCGACGCGCCCTGATCCTCCACTTTTAACTTTGGAGGCTCTTCATCATTGTCTCCTCTGCAGAAGAAACAAAACCATCTTTAATCTTCACCAGGTGCCTGAACGTCATCGCAACAAAATGCAAAAATTACCCATTCCTTTTCTGACCAAAAGAGGACAAATAAAGTCGGTCCTCACACAGGCACACTCACTCGCAAGGTGGCGGCTGTGGCAGTGGGATGGGCCTCGTGGATTGCTCCTTCACTGATGCAGCCATCTGGCAGATTAGGTCCTGCCAGCTGTGGGATTGTGAAAAGAATCCAAAATACAAAGGGGGAAGGAGAAAAAAAAAGTCCTTTAAATACACTGAGAAAGCAAAAATAAAAACAAATATACCAGAAACCAAAACAAACCAAACCAACAAACAAAAAACTCTACTTCTGCCAGAGAATATATTTATTTTGGCAATAACTATTAAGCAGAGATTACAAATACTCTACACTTTAAAGAAAAACCTAACGATATAATGGATATACTACCCATTAAAAAAATCCACTTGGCCCTTCTGAATCTTTTCTTTAGAAAATATACTTTCAGTAGAACAGAATCAAAATAAAAAACATCAATCTAAGAAGTAACAAGTTCTTAGAAGAACATATCTAAAAGAATATAGAGAAACTGCTTGTTTTTTGGTTTTCAAGTCCTATTGCAAAAACAATGTTAAGTTTGTAAAAGATTATATTCAGGGTATTACAAATTTCAGAGCACCAGGGGTGGGGGTAGGAGAGGATAAAGGGGGTCAAATACATGGCGATGGAAAGAGACCTGGCTTTGGGTGGTGGGCACACAATGGAGTATACAGATGATGTATCACAGAACTGTACACCTGAAACCTATACAATCTTATTAACCAATGTCACTCCAATACATATAATTTAAAAATTAAAGAAATGTATCTATATTTAATACATACACAGTTTTTTCAGAAACTGTCTGTGCCACCAGTTCATAAATTTGGGCTCCATTGTCTGACATGGAGATGACGAAGAAAGCTTTGTTATCTGGAAAAAACACGACAAAAATTACTCTCCTAATATGACCGACAGAGGCCATTTCTAGGGTCCTTATTATTCTGCATCTTAATCTAGGTAAAGGTTACATGTGTTCACTTTGTGAACATGTGTTCACTCTATAAAAATTCACCAAGCTATAAACTTAAAATGTGTGCAACACAGATGTTATACTGTGTTTATTATACTGCTATAAAGCAAACATGATAAAAACTAGCGCTGATTCCTCAGTAATTTATTCTAAACAAAAAGTCAAAGTATCTACATTACTAAACTAAACACTGATTCTTTTGCATTTATTCTGAACTGCCCTTTTGCTAAACAGTTAGTTAATATTCAGTGTCTGTTAGAGAACAGAGGTCATAAATCTACCCTGCCATCATGGAACTAACGCGTTTTATAAAGGATCTCATTTTTAGTACTGTTAATATATAATCTGCTAAATTAAACTGATTTCAAAAACCCAAACTACACACACCTCTTCAGGTTTTGCCCTTTTTTCCCTCCACCAAATCAAAAAGCATACCACTCTAATGAAAGGCTTTTGTCTGTCAATTACCTGAACGTGGAAAAAAAGGTCAAAGTGATATGCAGAGATTTTTTTTTTCAAATGCCAAAAATTACTGAGAGTCTAGGTATCCTCATTTGGGAGTATAAACTCTCTGTTAATTTTTCCAGGCAGTCAGTAAATTTCACTTAATTTGCATAAGAATATATAAAGAACAAAACTTGATGCCAGTTGTTCTATTTAAATAACACTAAACATCTTATGCAACTTTACAATGAACCTGAAGGTCAGCAACACTCAGACACACTCGCCTGTGGCCACCTGTCGAACCAGCACTGTGCTCAAGGTAATGACAGGGCTGAAGGTGTGCCTGCTGTCACCCGTGGATGCCAGGACCTTGCTGTGGCACCTCAACACCAGCCTGTCATCCTGCTTCTGTAGCAACACGAGGATGTCCTCCAGCAGCAGTGTATACAGATCTAGACAGAAAAGCGCAGGAAAAGGTGATTCGTACAGAAATGGAGACGCGTTTTATAAACTTCATAAAAATTCGACATTTCTGTAAAAAAGTGATTTGTTATTGTCTTTTTAAATAATTCTTTTTTACTGTGTGACACTATTACACTGAAGTATTAGTCTGTGACCCAGACGGCTTTAGATTTTGTGATCTAATGAAATCCCAGACTCATTCGAATGCGAGAATGACGGAGACAGGACTGATGGAGTTTCCTGCTTCCCCCTTAAACGACTACACAACACACTTCACATATGACAAAATCGCATGAATGATACAAAGTAGCACTGCTAGCTGCTGTAACTGGAAACTGAATGGCTCTGTCCTTCTAGAAACTTTCCTACTCTCCTTTCTTCACTCTCCCCACAGCGGACAGACACCAGACCTACCGATGGTTTTATCTCTGTTCACCTTCCAAACCAATGGCCCTTCATGAATCATCTTCCTTTTTGTTAGATCCAAATTCTGTCAAAATAAAAAGAATTATACACAAGTTATTTCCAAGCACTTAGTGAGAAATATTTCAGTCTCTTTTCAAGAAATTCTTAGTATAAAAATACCATTTACATTCACTATTATTATTGATATCTGACAACTATTGAAAATGAACTAAAGAGCAAGTTAAAAAGTTAAAGTAAGATGCATAACTTTTTCTAAACAGGAAAGGTACCCTAACGACCATTCGGGAGCACTGCCTTCTAAACCTCACTCTAAACAGGTGACGTGAGCTTATAGAAATTAAGCTGTAAGCTGTCAGGCGTCAGATTCTCAGCCCACCCTGAATTTCTCTGTACGTAACTAGACGAGGGTGATGCACAGCTGGCTTGTGAGAGGCTTCTGAGTTCCAGACTCTGGTACCAAAGAAACTTCTAAGGAACAGCATTTAGAAAAAGTCCGGGGAGTACTCAGGTTTGCTCTAAATATTATTAACTTAGTAAGAGAATCATCTTTTAGTATAAGCAGCTCCAGAAAAACCTCGTGCTCTGGTCAGGGCGCAGCGCATTAGCAAGCTTCTTGATGAGCTGCTCTATGTGACACAGAACTGCATTTTAACAGCCACCAAATAAATCTGTCAAAACCACCACCTCGTCAGACAGTGTAAGGAAGATTAAAAATCCTAAGTAGTTATCAATAGAAAAGCCTCATGTACTAGACGTGACAATCAGTATTTTACTATCACTCCCATAACGGTTTCAGCTTTCTGAAGAGCTTCATGGAAAAATAATTGTTATCTTGCTTTACTCAATAATCTGGAAAGTTTCCATAGTAAACAGCCCTACTCGTCTTTAAACTATACAACACAATAACATTAAACTTAATAAGTAATGTTTAGTCTTCTGCAAATTTTTGTCAAAAAAGTTAGTCTCACAGAAAATATTCCTTTAGTGAAAGACTAAAACATTCCTTTAGTGAAAGCAACCCTTACACAGATGAAACACTTGAAAGAAAAAAGAGAATCATGGTACAAGAGCTCCTTCAGCTGATGTTCCCACTGAGATGTTAGTAAATTTTATTTAAAAAATTATTGTTAGACCATCTCTCACCCTGAGCTCTTCAACATTTAGGTACTCTGAGAACTTCAGATTGGAGGTATCAAGGCGACGCTGGTAATCTTCTAAACGCTGAAAATCAGACAGGATAGAATGACGGTTACCGCTTTGGATATCAATGACCTCCCTGTTCCTAAATCAAATGGACATTCTAAAACTACATTTTACTAAGCTCTGTGCAGTATTAGACAAAACTGACAACTTAATCTTTCTTAAAGTTTTCCTTTGGTTTTGAAAAGTCTCTCCTAGTTTTTGTCCTATCTCTTTGGCTGTTCTTTTCCAATCTTTTCAAATTCACTGGCCTCTAACTAGTTTGTATTTATTTTCTGAACATGTAAATCACCTACATGGTACAAAAATCAGAAGGTGCTGCAAGGCGCACAATAAAACGTCAGCCTCCCTCCAACCCTGTTCTCTTGCCTCCCCACACCCAATTTTCTCTAAAGGAATACCCGTTTCTTGGGTAGCCTATGAGACAAATAGAACACATGTGTATGCTTGTCTCTGTAGGTGTTGTGTGTATATAGCCTTCAACAAGAAGATATGGCAGCAAATATACTTGTATCCACCTTTCCCTCTCTGTCTGCCACTGATCACTTTCTCTGGGAGACTGCCCACGTTTACCACCCAGACAGCGCTCCTGTGTTTTAATGGCTGCATGTACTCAGCTCCGAGCGAACTACAGCTTATTTAACGACAGCTTACTGATGGCAATGGGGTGACTTCAAATCTCCTAAACCACCAATACTACAGTGAAACGGTCTCACACGTGTACTTCTGTGCACGTACAGACAGAGCTGTAGAATAAATCCCTGAAGGAAGAACTGTTACATCAAAGGGTCTGTGTATTTCCCCAAGATTATAAAAAGTCCCACACACCCAGGGAAGTTTGGATGTGTACACTGAATACCCACCGCCCACCGCCTGCCTTGTGTAATTAACACTCGCTTCTGTTCTGTCGTCTGTCCATCCACCTAGTCATTCCTCTACCTACCCATCAATCCATTTTATATTTTGGATGCTATTTCAAAACAAGTTACAGACATAAGCATGCTTTAGCTCTAAACATTTTAGCATTCCTGTAATTAACAAGAGTTCAATTATTTGTTCATAGCTTTTTATAATAAAATTTACAAACAGTGAAATGCACACATTTTAAATGTACCTTCCCACAAGTTTTTATACCTGTGCAAACTCCTATGAAGATATAAAATATTATCACTGCCCTCACACTCTTTCCTAATTAATATCTGTCCCCACATGCCCAGTGACAACTACTTTTCTGACTTTTTCCCCCTACCAGATTAGTTTAGCCTGTTATGGAAGTTTATATAAATAGAATTATATGTATAGACTCTTTTTTTTAATCCTTACCTGAGGAAATATTTTCATTGATTTTAGAGAGAAAGGGGAAGGAGAGAGAGGAACATCCTTGTGAGAGAGACACATCCATCAGTTGCCTCTCGTACGCGTTCCAACTGACTGGGGGTCAAACCAGCAATCCAGGCGTGTCCTGACTGGGAGTCGAACCTGCACCCTTTCAGTGCAAGCATGATGCGCCAACCAGCCGAGCCACCAGGCCAGGCTGTGTGCACCCTCGAGTCTGGTGTCTGTCACTCAGGGTCGTGTTTGTGGGGTTCATCTGTGTTGCTTCTAGCAGTGGTCACTCCTTTTTATTGCTGGTATTACTTTCGTTTATGATTATGCCACATTTAGTTTATGTTACAAAAATTCTTGTACAGGTCTCTGGGCGTAACTTCACTTCTCTTGGGTAAGTAAGCAGGAAAAGAATTGCTGGGCCAAAGAATGTATGAATATGTGTGTGTTTAATTTAGATAAGTGTTGCCAAATTATCCTCTGGGGTTTAATTATTTTATACTCCAAGCAATACAATTGGAAATACCCATTCTCCTATAGCCTCACCAACAGAGCCGTCATCACACTCAATTCCTGAAAGCTATGCCAGGCCCATGGCCTCAGCAGGCCATGCTGCCGTCTTACCTCCAGTGCTGTGCTGAGAGGCGGGTCCCTGTGGCATTGTCACCTGATATCACAAACTGCACTCAGAACCTGCCTCACAAATCTGGGGCTTCTCCACTCATCCTGTTCATCCAAATGTGCACACCAGAGACCTTGGATTTATTCCTCACACCACCTCTCTTCAATCCTTCTCTAAATCAGGCACCAAGTACTGTCAATTTTGTCTTCTAAATACTTTTCCAAGTCTTGCACTTCTCTGAGCCACCACCATCAATCCTGGACTGCTGAGAGAAGACTAAGGGAGCTCTTCTGTCCATACTTCTCTCTTTTCAATCCACCCTCCACAGAGTAGATGCGTGATACTTATGAAGTGACGAACCTGAGCATGTCACTCCCCTTCCAGAATGTCTACAATGAAGTCCTACCGTTCTCAGAATAAAAACCAAAATCTTTAACATAGTCTACAGGGCCTGTAGGTCTGGCCCCACCCTACTGCATCTCACTTTATATCACTACGACTGCGTTTCAGTATGATGCACACTGATCTCATCTTGCAGCTCCTCAAACAGACCATACTTCTTTTCACCCCAAGACTTTTCTACAGGCTGTTTCCTCCACCTGTGAGGCTGCCCCTTCCACATCATTTTGTTTCATTGCCACTCATCCTTCAGAGCTTGGTATATGTCAATTCCCCAAGGAAGCTTTCTCTGACAGCCACCACCTACCATCCTCAAATGAGATAATCCTGCCCCCCAAGTTATACTCCTGGCATCCTGAAATTCTCCTTCACAGCAGCCATCACAACTGATATAAAATACTCACACTCTACTCTGTCCAATGACATTCTATCCTGCTAGAAAACAAGCTCCGTGTGGGCAATTTCTGCACTCCTTTTTGTAAGCACTCTATACCCCACCCTCAGCAGACAGCTATCGTCACCAACTCAATGAATAAATGAGCAGACATGCAGCTAGAGAGGCTCACAAAGGTCAAATAAAACGTGGATGTTCTGTCACAAGTTGATAGAGACCCATCTGCTACATGAACAGTTGACAAATGTCTACCTTCAATTATGTAATGAGACTTTCAGTTATTGTTGCCAGACTCAGGGCAACACTGACCTAATATCCTCACTGCATCTTTTATTTTCCCTTCTTACCTGCTTGTTTTCTGCCTCTTTGACAGCCTGATTTACATAATTTAAGATCTGACGACAGTGATCTGCAGCTTTCTTGACCTTCTCTCTTTCTGTCGGCCACTCTAAATAAGGGCAAGAACCCGAAATATAAAATGGAGGAAATCAGAAAAAAAAAGCATATATGTGATATCATTTTAACAGTTATAAGGCCATAATAAGACCTTGAATATTTTTATACCAGGCTGAACCTATGTCAGAATCTCAATTCAGGTATTCTTTAGACAGGTAAAACCTCTTACGACAGTACTTCAAAATGTAAATACTACTCTTTAAAAAGAAACCATAGTATAGAAAACCAAACTCAAGGACAGACACTTTACATCAAGTATCAAGCCCACTATGTTTGTTTGTTTTTTTTTTAAATATGTCTTTATTGATTTCAGAAAGAGGAAAGGAGAGGGAGAGAGAGAGGTAGAAACATCAATGATGAGAGAGTCACTGATCAAGCCTGCAACCCGGGCAGTGCCCTGACCGGGAATCGAACCCCGATCGCCTGGATCCCAGGTCGACCCTCAACCGCTGAGCCACGCCCGGCCGGGCAAGCCCACTATGTCACACACTCCAGGGAGTGGGTCTCATTACATTGTAAGCAGTGTAAGTGGGGCCCTCCCCCTAGAATTTCAGTGCACAGCCTATGTGATTATGTCCAGTGCACTTGTTAAGCAGTATTTTTTTTTAATGGAAATACAATTCAAAGTAACTCCAAAATAAGTTTATTTGAATTCGAGGTTATATTTGAAGAATGAAAATACATGAGGACATTCATATCATTAAAAGATGAAACTCCCCACAATGTGGTGCGGTTACAAGGAGGTCTACAATGTAAATACCAAAATCAGAATATTCGAAATTACAATCGTCCAAACACAGTCCAACTATAATGAGCAGATATATTAAAGTATAAAATTTAACGTGTATGATCGTTTTCAAATTCTCAGGCATAAGAAATAGGAATTTGATTGTACAGGATTATTAATGAGTGGGGTGGGGTGGGGTTGATGGGGCCAATGGAGAGAAAAAGAGGCATCTGTAATATTTTGAATTAAAAAAATTTAAAAAAGCGCCTAAAGCTCAACTGACAAATTTGAATTCATTACATGCTTTAAAACAGGAGAGTTGGAATTATGAAGCTAATGAAAATACATGTATAGACACAAAATACCTCTTCAATCCAGTACAGGCCTTCTTCAAAGGAAATACGATACATGCTAGAGGAAGAACTGGCAACTTCCATGAAGGGCCAGTAATAAATATTCTACAGTTTGCAGGACAAATGGTCTGTGTCGTAACTACTCAATTCTGCCGTCGTAGTGCGAAAGCAGTCAGAGTCCAAGGCCAACAAGTGAGCATGACCAGAGTCTAATAAACTTCACAGAAAGAGGTAAAGAGCTAGATCTGGCCCACAATCCACAGACTGCCAAACCCTGCGCCAGACTCACTAATGGAGTTCATTCAATCAAATACCCTGAACTGGACTGAATCTTATTAACAAATTTTGCTCTACTATTTGGAAACCTCCAGGCACCAGAATGCTGTGAGAGAATTCTGTTTTTTTTCCCTTAAGCTTTTTAATTTCCACGAAAGTGCTGTACCTGTGTATTTAGCAATGTTGTCCAACAGAAGAGGGTACTTGGTGAGCCTCTGCATTTGGGTGGGAATGATATCCTTCAGCTGCAGACGCCGGCACAATGGATTACTCTCAGCATCCTAAAATTAAAGTGAAACAAGTGAATTTATAACTGCTATTAGGAATATACCTAACGCACCATATATTCATCATATAAGTGTCTACAGCATCACAGTTCAGCAATTAAATAAAACTTACAACATGCCGAGACAGACCACTGCCACACTACACTTCTGCTTTCCCTTTCTATCACTAACCCAATGGATTCTTTGTCATCTGTTTAAACAATGACTTCGAGCATCCACAATCAACGCGGAGAATCACTTTCTCAGGATAAAACAGTTTTATCTTCACATGTTCAGGAAATCTAGTCACATCTCCTTACAACTGGCATTCCTACCGAAGTCATGTTAGCTAATACGCTGGCCACCATTCCAAGTAGGCACAATGGATCCCGTCTGGATATACCAGCTCCTCTAGAACAGGTCTGCAGCCTTTTCAGTCAAGTGCCAGACAGTAAATACTGCAGGCTCTGCAGGTCCTACAGTCTGTCACAACTCTCAACTCTGCTGTTTTAGAACAAAAGCAGCCACAGATAATACGTAAAGGAATCCACATGGCTAAACTAAGTGTATTAAAAGTTCTAACATGGCCCCCCAAATTCCCTCTCTAGTATACACAACCTACATGTGGACAGAACCTGGCATATGATGGGATATCACACCTGTGATTAGGTTACTATCAGTTGACTTGAAGACTGTCTTCTGTGAGTCTGACTTAATCAGAGAATCTCTGCTTTAAAAGAAAGCTCTGTCAGGGAGATGCATCCTTGCTGGCTTGGAAGAAAGCAAACATCCATCTTGTAAACTGCCTACAGGGGCCGTAAGGCAAACAAATATGGGCCTTCTCCAGGAACCAAGAGTAGTCTGTAGCCGACAATATCAGGACAAGGATCTTGCTTACACACTTAGGGCGACGTGAGCTCTGCTAACAGCAAGGGAGCTTAGAAGAGGACCCAGGTCCCAGGCAAGAGCCACAGCATGAAAGGAGGGCCCACCTGAACTATACCTGCCCTCCTCTCCACAAATAACACGTTTGCATTGTTTTAAGTTGCTATGCTTATTGTAATTTACTATATGGCAATAAAAAACTAGTACTGTTTTCCAATAAAACTGTTTACAAAAACAGGCAAGAGGCTGGATATAGCCCATGGGCTGTAGTTTATTGACCCTAGATCTATACCAATATATACTTCGACAAGTATGAGTGCTGTTATGTTCTTCCCTGGGCTTGACATAAACCCATTCTCAGGTTTTGATGACATTATTTTAGTAGTGTACATGGACCATTTCCGGACAATGTTTCCATGGCAATGTGAATGGCTATGTCAGGCATTATGACCAGGTTGTATTCTCTTTATTTCTCAACATTCCAAAATCTTTATACCATCTAGTAATTTAAGAGAGCAGTGATAGCTTTAAAAAACATTAACATAAATATAACCCTTGTAAAAGACTTTGGTCTTAGAATTCTCCCAGTTTATTCTATAATTGATTAAAAAACTGCATTATTTTTTCTCTTACAGGACACACACAACTCACTTGCACAAAAGTCTGGAATCGAGAATCCTTTTTCTGACGAGATTTGATCATTTCCAGGGCAAAAGGCTGGTTACTGCAGAAGGTCGCTGCTGCCTGCTTCAGCCTCTCCTCCCCCGGCCCACTGAACTGCAGGGAGGAGGAAAGAGCACAACAGGGAAGGGGGTGCAGAGCTGATCAAAAGGCCAGACAAAGTGAGAGAGAACCACAGTCCTTTTGAAACTCCAATAAGTATTCTCAAAAGACAGGAAACAGAGCTACATGTACATGTGGAGTATGGCTGTGTCTATCAGAAACACCTGACACACCCAAGCCTTTTCTAATTATATTCTAATGTTTTCCTCCTTGCGGCCTCCCATACTTATAACCTGTTCAGCCTACACCACTTCTCTATTAGACAGAAAGGCTGACACGGGAATTATGAGACATAAAACACTTAAAAAAGACTTTGGGTGGTGGGCACACAATGCCACATACAGATAATGTGTCACAGAGATGTACACTTGAACCCTATATAATTTTATTAACTAATGTCACTGCAATAATTTTAATTAAAATAAAGTGTAAAAATAATGAGATTACAATTTCATTTTCTTAGAATCTGACACTGTCACAAAAATGACTCTCCTGTTGCTCTGGGAAGAAAATCCTCAAGATCAGAGCTGCCTTCTTACTGTGAAACCTAGGTCAGGTTAAAACTTTTTGAGGTTGCAATAAAACTAAATCACCCACTGTTTCACTGTGCAGAGTCCAGACATCCATGCCACCCACCTCTCTTGGGGAAGATCCATGAGCCTATGAATCTCTTTTGCTAAAAATTATACCTTTTTTTTTAACTGATATTTTTAATTTATAAATTTAAGTTTGTATATGCCCTAATTTTAAAGTTTCTGATGAAACATCTGATAGTGCTTTACTCATAATAGGCAATCTTATAAGTAGAGGTCAGATAAGTTTTTTTAACAGGCTTTATATTTGTAACAATTGCTTCTATGATTTACAAATGAACTTTTCCTACAACCTTCCCTTTAAATCCGTATTTCCAAAAGTTTGTACATGAAGATATTTTGTTAAAAATCTTTTTGTAGTGCACTTGCAGATAAATTCAGAGTATTTTTTCAACTAGGACACATACAAAGTGACATCTTAATAGGCTGCCCCAATGCTGTACACATACTCTATTGCAAATGTGACATTCAACATATTAAAAGGAGAGACTGACAGCACTTTGGAATTTTAATTCTCTCACAAAAATATGAACAGCAGCTGGGTTTACAAAAGAAAATAAATGCCGCTCAAACTCAAGCAGTTTTAGAGTAGTTGGTATCCCTAAGGTGATATTAATGGATAAGTACAAAAAAAATAGTCTCCAAAAGTACTTCAAAACAGAGTAAATTTAAAGGTCTATTTATGATTTTTGCTTTTACTATTTCTGGCTGTTTTCCTCTAAATTAACCATCTATACCTAACAGTTACTAACTAGATTGGCTGGTCCTTTCCAATATTTTTACAGGTACATCACACTGGTCAAAAACACACTTCTCTTGGGAGAGCCAAGATGGTGGTGGAGGAGGTGAGAGTAACACTCACCTCCTCCCAGGCCCAAACCGGAATCACCGCTACATCGCAGAACAGTCATCCTGAATAACCAACTGAGAACCAGCTGAACACAAGTCTTATAACCAAGGATTTACAGAGGAAGCCACATGGAGACAGGTAGGAAGGCTGGAGATGCAAAAGGCTGGCCCTGCTACCATGTGCAGAGGTTGAGAATCTGGAGGAATGCCACAGCTGCAAAGTCCCTCAAGGAGTGAGGGGTCTCAACCCCACACTGGGTTCCCCATCCCAGAGCATCAGAGCCGGGAAGCAGTGCCCACATAACATCTTGTGTAAATCAGTGGGGATTCTGCTAGAAACTCAGGCACCCTCTGAAAGGTCCAACACACAAAATCTTGTTAGCGACCACTCTTCCTGGGCTCTGGTGGAGGGCAGACAACTTGGAGTGGACTGGAGCCATAAAGGGAGAGACTGAGTTATGTGGCTTCAGGGAAAGGGTTGAAGGGACAGCCACCAAGGTCCCTGTGCTGAATTGCACTCCAACATGGCCCACAGATGCCATCTGTCCTGGGCTGAGCACTCCCTCCATAAAGCATTACCCTGCAGAAATGCAGTAGCTCTTCCTACCGACTTCCTGTGGCCCAGCCCTGCCAAACTGGTGTCCAGCAGAGAAGTATGCAGGAAGTGTAAAACCTGGACCCACAGTGCACACTTTCTTGGAAGGCTCTTGAGGAGGTTGGGGAAAATGCAGATTGTGTCAGAGACTCACAGGGCAAGACTGAGTAGTGTGGCAATAGGGAGTGGGCCATTTCCCTTGTCCCACTGACCAGCACCACTCTTCCAATGCAAAGCCCTCCTTCCATACAGTCAAATCTTTGTCTCTTTCAGCCTGATGAACTCTACTGGCTTCATGCTAACGAATCCCGAGATCCCACCCAACCACAAAAGTCCACGGGTGGCGCTGGCCTTGGTGTACCCTGAAACTTTTGCTGAGTGACCTCAGACCCAACACTGGTGCCAAGTTTGAATCTGTATCAACCTAGTGGGCACCACTTGTCCTACCTGATACTCACTAAGAACCTATCTCATACAACTCGAGGACTGCCAGAGGCTCTTTCAGTGAAGGCCCAACAAGCAGCCAGTAGGTAGAGACAGACCTTGGGCTGTCCTGGGCCTTTTGCTGAACTGCCCCTGGGCTAGGAGCCAACGGAAGCTGGCTTTGTCACACAGTTCTGTCCCTCCCCCACACACAGGCCCAGCGGCAGACACAAACTGTGGATCTCTTCATAGCTCAAAGCAGGTAATCCAGAGCCAGTCACAGACTCTGATACTGACCTGCACTGGATTCCCTACCATAAGCGAACACACGGTGGTGAGCTTCAGACCAAATCAGAGCATAGTCGAATTGGCTCCACAAGAAGCTCACCCAAAAGGAGATCTCTGTAAGCACCGGACCCTGATGGGGGGAATTCTACTTCATGGGGTCAGACCCAAAACAGCAGACCATACACTGTGGGTGGGGTCAATTCTCACAGTCAGCGAGCATGAGACTCAACTCCACAGCAACAGAGAAGTGAATGGGAGCCAGTGTACTATCAAGCAGCGGGAATCTGCGGGGATTCCGTCCACCTAGGAGGCTCAGACCACAGTATCCCAGACAAAGAGAGCGTTCTTTGTTCTCCCACCAGCCTGGGAAATTAGCTCCAATCTGGGGCTGCTGGAGAAGCCATGCAGCAGAACTCTGGGCCAGTCAGGGGGGTCTGCTTGTACACCCAGAACGACTTTGAGGGGCTTCTACCTTCTGGAGGAACTCTGGGAAGAGAGCCGGTAAGATGCCAGGCTGCGGCCTGGGAAAGGGGAATGACCTGCCAGCTCCAGCGCACGGGCGCCCCCGCGCCCCACCCGCTGAGCTGCTGGGTTTGCCCCATCCTGCTGTGACCCCGCAAAGGGGAACCGCACTGGGCTGGGAATCCAAGGGCTCCTGGGAGTCGAACATTTGGCCCCATTGTCAGAGGCCTTGTCCAGCAGGGAGCCAGCCACAAACAGATTAGAGTGCTAAGGGGAGCCAGTTATTTTTTTAAGTCCACAACCAAAGACACTTTTCATTGACTTGGGAGAAACATCGATCAGTTGCTTCCTGTACACACACCGACGGGGGATTGAACCTGCAACCTAGGTATGTGCCCCGACTAGGAATCAAACCTGCAGCCTTATTGGTGTACAGAAGTACACTCGACCAGCGGAGCCATCTGGCTGGGTGCTTATTTTTTTGATCCCCTCCTACTCGGTTTGGTGGCAAAGGAGGGTGCCAGGGAGCCAGGAAGAGCTGTGTCTCCAGGGTGGGCTTCTGTCTGGGAAGAGACAGGAGTGTGCTGGGCCCTGTGGTAGAATTACGGGGAAGCAGATGCGAGCTCCCCAATGAGTTCAGGCCGAACAGCCCTGGGAAGGAGAGGAAGTACCCGCCCCCTCCTATGGGTTACGGGCACCACTCCCACCAGGTCACAGATACCTCCAGAGTGCAAATCTGTGGGGGAAGGTAGTGCAACTCAGAACAGGGACATTCGAGGTGGGAGGCCCAAGGAAGGTCGAGCCTCTGGGCTACAGAAGCCCCACTCGCCTGACGATTAGGGGCTCTGCCCTGCCAAGCTGCAGACAGGTTAGTGAGGGCCAGGCAGGGATAGCAAGTGACATTGGTTTGCACCAGATAACTACCCAAGGGCCCGGGACTGGCTGGCACACCGCGTGACCAGTTTCAGACGACATTTGAGAATGATCCTGCGAGTTCCACAAGTAACCTATCCAAAGTGTGATCACAGGAGGCACCAAGATCTGCTGAGAAAAACCCTGCCTTTTATTTCTACACGTCTTATTTTCCTGCTCTTTCCAGTTTTCTCTCCATTCTATCCTCTCTTATTTCTCTCTCTTTCCTTATTCCATTTTCCTTCTTTCTTACTTTTTTACTGTTTTACTTTTCCTGCTCTACATTTTATTATTACTTTAAAATTATTTCATTATTTATTTATTTAAAATGCCATTAATACATCTACTTTTAATTATTTTTTTGCTAATCCTCCCCAGAGGATTTTTTTTTCTATTGCTTTTTCAGAGGGTGGGGTGGGGGGAGAAGGAGAGAAGGAGAGACAGAGGCAGAGATATCGACTGGTTACCTACCACATGCGCCCCGACTGGGTCCAGGTATTGAACCTGCAACCCAGGTATGTGCCCTGCCTTTGACCAGGAATTGAACCCATGACCCTTTGGTGCAAGGGTCAACACTCTAACCAGAGACGCACCAGCTAGGGCTTTATTTCTTATTTTTATTATTTTACTTTCCTTTTTCCCTTTATATGCTCTGTATTGCTTTCTTTTATAAAATTTGTCTTTATTGTTGAAAGTATTAGATATCCCCTCTTTTTCCCCTCCCATGATCCCTTCCACCCCACATTCACGCTGCCACTCCCCCCAGGCCTTCACCACACTATTGTCTATGTCCATGGGTTATGCATATATGCATATAAGTTCTTTGGTTAATCTCTCCCCATCGACTCTCCTACCCCCGCCTTCCCACTGAG